TATGATTGCATGATTATTATAAAATGAATGAAGAGAAGAATCATCACATCATGGACCAGCAGTAGGTTGCTTGAGAGGGACTTTGCAACCTAAACAAAAGAGAATAAGATACTTGGACTTTTGTTGGGGACTTGGCGGAAAGGGAAAAAAAATGAAAGGTGGATGTTGGAGAGAGGCTTGGAGGGTGGCACGGTTTAGCTAGCCTAATTAACGCTTCCATAACAAGGCTGTGTGTGTTAACCACTATCCTCCCACTCACCTGACATGTGGGGGCCCTCGCTCGGTCTCTTTCAAGTCATGCTGCGCATGCATGACAGAAGAATATATGGAACTGCAATGTACACGTACTGGTGTCATGGTAGGGAAAAGGGATGAGGTTGTTTTTTTTTCTCTCAAAAGTAGTATGAAACGGAATGAAAAAAAATAAACACGACTTTTAGTTTTTTTATAAAAGAAGGAAAAGAAAAGAAAGCTTGCATGCTTACTAATAATTAGTGTAATAATCACTGTCCCAGTAGGGAAAACATAAAGGGGGTAATGACCATGCAAGTAATGAAGCTGTAAAGGCAATTGGAGTGAGGACATCCGTTGATGCATCTAATAATTCAAATAATGACGATGAGGATTTGTTGGGTTGGTTGGTTACTGCCTAATAGTCGTCGCCCGTAAGTTTTTTTTAGGGTAAACAGGCCCAGAGGCAGAACAGGAGTACAAGTTAAAACAAGAAAAGGAGGAAGCTAAGCTAGAGCTAAAGGAGAAATCAAGAAAAAAAGAAAGAAGTGAAGAAAATGAACAGGAAGGAAAAAAGGAACCAGGCTAAGCTAGATTTGCAATCCATTGATTGATGCTTGGAGAGTAACACCTCTTTGTTCGAAGCGATAGGAGCTCAAGCTCTGATCTGAAGAAGAATCTCTTGGAACTCTACAATGAAGGCTCTGTCTGCCTGAACACTAGATCATTTCTGGCTTTCCAAATTGTCCAACACATTAATGTAATTATCTCCATGAAGAATGGTACCTGGAGCTGATCTTTGAAGCTTTGGAGCATCTGGAATGGATCCAGAGAATTGTTGATCTGGATACCAATCAAGGCCCAACATTGAGAAGCAAAAGGGCAGTGAATAAACAGGTGGAACAGTGTTTCTTCAGTCATGTCTAAACAAAGGGGACAGTTGTAGTCTTCTAGGGTCATATTTTTCCTCCTTAGCAGCTCTCTTGTACTCAGTCTATCTTTTAGTAACATCCAAAAAAAACTTTGTGTTTATTTTGACATGAACTTCTCCAATTCCATTTGAAGGCTGGGTGAATTTGCAGATGCCCACTAAGATGATTGTAAGCTCTGTTTACTGAAAAAACATTAGAGTTCTCTGGTGAGTCATTCAGGCTGATGTTTTGTAACTCTTCCTCCAAGTGAAGCATCTGTGTATGTGCTTGCTGTGATAATGGCAGATGAAAGAGACTATGAATTGGAATTTGAGTTTTCCCTTTTTCAAAAGAGATCTGCTTCTTTTTCACAAAGGAAAACAGCTCTAGGTATTTATGCTCAGGAATGTCTGATCCCCAAAGATCTTCCTAAAAGAAACAAGATTTCCCATTGTTAACATTGACCTTTGCCATTCCCTTAAACTTTTCTAGCAATTTGAGCACATCTTTCCACCAAAAAGATCCCTGCCTTGAATTACCAGGTAATCTGCCATTACTGTAATATTTCTCCCACACCAATGAAACCCAGGGCACATCTTCCTTGTTGAAAATTTTATGCAGATGCTTAAGAAGAAGAGCCTCATTTTGTGTTTTGATGTTGAGCACCCCCAACCCTCATTCCTCCTTTGATCTACATACCATTGGCCATGCTATTTTTGGCCTTTGCTTTGCATTTATTTCAGCACCTCTCCACAAACAAAGTTTTCTAAATTTATCAATCTGATCAATGACTATTTGTTGTAGTAGGAAAGTACTCATACAAAATGTTGGAAGGGCAGTAAATACTGAATTTACTATTGCAGTCTGCCTGCTTGGTTCAAGAAGGTTGAAGTTGCAGCCAATCTTCTTTCACATTTGTTAACTAGTGGGGTGAAGTCAATAATTTTAGGCTTGGTTAGCCTAAGAGGCAATCCAAGGTATGTGAATGGCAGCTTCCCTACCTGGCAGTCGAAAGTTCTTGCCAAATGATTCATCTTTTCTTCACTTGTGTTAATAGGGACCATCATGGACTTTTCATAATTTACTCTAAGGCTTGTTGATTCCCCAAAGGTGTGAAGCAGAGCCTTCAGAGTCCACAATTGTCTTCCACAGGCTTATAATCTCTATCTTTATTCCCTAATTCTCAATAATTATTCTCAACCTAATATTAAAGAGCTAGCGAAACATTTCTTTCAATCCGGTTTTCCCCCCCTCTCAAACTTTGCGTCATTCATCCCGTTTTTATTTCTCAAATTGACCTTGTGCTCGATCTGTATCATGTGACCTAGATTCATGACCCATGCTCAACGAGCTACAACAAATCGTCTCCAGTGATGATATATGGCGATCTATCCCAAACAACCAAACTATCCTCACTCCCTTTGTATCCTATATGTGACCTAATTCATAACACGTACTTATACGAGTTAATAGAACAACTCACATCCAACGACGATACGGATTCCGATTCCAAGCTTATTGAGCGTTCCGTGCAATGCACATGTATGTTTTGCTAGTTAGCTACAAACATAAACAATGTAATTAGTGTCGTTGTTGTTTTCTTTTCCTTGAGTGACAGGGATATGATTGTTTGCATGATGCATGGACGCATCTCAACGCGGATGGCTCCCTTTGACCTACTGTCCTTTATATATCGTGCTCCTATCCTTTCCACGGCTGCATATACATGGTTTTTGTCCCCCAAAAAATGGTTGCATATACACATGGAAACTGCTGACGCACGGACATTCGACGGATACGATCCCTCTGACGGTACCGTGGCCCGTGCGATTCGTTTCTTGTGCACGTGCGCCTGCATTCTGTGCCCGTGCCAGCACGCCCTCACCCACACCTGCATTTTGTGCGCTCATGCGGGGCCACACCGCGCGCTCGCGCTCCCTCCTACTTCCCACGCGCATGCCATGTACCACATCTAATCTACTTTTAAAACATCTCGATGCAACACTTGCAACATGCGTATAGATAAAACACTTGCAACATGTTTCTGAAACACTTGCAAAAATACCTAAAAAACATTTGAAAACCATTGCAAATATACACAACATCCAGATAAAACGCTTACAACGTATGTGTGAAACATATGCAACATCCAGATAAACCCACATGTAACATACATATGGAAAAAATAGATGAAACATTAGGGACCGACACTTGCAACATACGTGTACAACCATTGCAACATATGCAAGATTCAGATCTACTTTTATAACATCCGTATAAAACACTTGCAACATACCTCTAAAACATCTGAAACATTTGAAATATACGCTTGAAACATGCATCGTATCCTGGTGCGGCCTCCTCCGCCATTTGCATTGGGCGCCGCCGCCGTAGCAGGAGGCAAGGCCGAAGTGCTTCCGCGCTAGGGCGCGACGCTTCCCTTGCGCGCTGCTCGGTCATCATCGAAAGCGAAAGCACGCACGCAACGGCTCTGGGGTCGAGGAGCGGTCACCACGCTGCGGCGCCGGCGGCGTGCATTTGTCGTCAGGTGCGGCGGACGGCAGAGGGAGCAGCGGCAGGGGCAGCAGAGCAGGAGCTGGCGCGGTAACCATGATGGTGAAGCAGAGCAAGCGAGCCGGCGGCGCGGTGGTGCACCTGTGGCTGTGGGCAACACCGCGACAGCCGATACGAGATGCAGAAATGTCGCTCTAGGCCTGTTGGGCCAATTTTGCAGGCCCGGAAAGAAGCGGATGCGTCCGCACGGACGTTCAGCATTTCCGTATACACATGGGCTATGTTTGCTTCTCTTATAATCCGCCTTTTTTCAAATTTATTTTTCAAATTTAACAATGTTTTTTCTCACAACAAATTAGTCAGAGTAGTGTTTTGGCTTGTTTTTTCAGCGAAGCGAACATGGCCATAGTATTTGTCACAGTAGTAATGGAATAACGGTGGCGCAAAGTTTTTTTTTAGGTGAGTGCTCAGCGTATCTGAGTGCATGATTTGTTGTAACTGTTCACGTGGAACACGTCATGGCCCATTAATCAGTTGAGCCAATCAGCAAGGTGGAGGGAAATGACCCACCCACAGCAGGCCCACACATACATGGGCTCCTTTCTGGGTCTATGAGCCATGCTGAAACGGAGTTTTGGTACTTGCGCACTGGGCCACATCCACGGCCCTGGTCCTCATCCAAATCCAAAAAAAAAAAGTGTGGAGAGTGGGGAAAAAAAAGGGAATGCTCTAAAACTAGAATAGATGGAAGTGGAAAAGTATGCCTCAAGCTCTTGCAATAATTAATTACTGTAACTGAAAGGCAGGTAGTCACACACAGCACAGACAGCCACATCACATTCACCATATTGTTTTTGTTTTTGCAAGAAAACAAAACATAATTGTCGTCATCATCGTGACCATTAAATCAATAGATGAAATGGTACAAGCTACTAAGTAGTACAAGTACAGGAGAAGAATCCCGAAGGCAACAAACACAAGTCTGATAGCGCCATGGAAATACGATCGATCGTCGTCCCCGGAGACTCCGGTAGCGAACCAACAAGAGAAAACCATGGGCGGGCGGGCGGGCGGGCTCCTGCAACTCCGATAGATGCCGCCGGCCGGATAGACATGGATTGATGTGGATGGATAATGTAAAGTAAACGAAACCACGGGCCTGGACGTCTTAGCTGGATGGATTAGGATTAGGATTAGGACGAAGGCAGGAAGCCAGGCGCCACGTCATGCATCATTGCTAACCACCCACCAATTATTGCTACTAATTTATTGTTTGTTCCTCTAAATTCTTCTTGCTGCTAGATAGTATCTTCTCCAGACCAAGTGAAGTGAAAGTTACAGGCGCTACCAGCTCCAGCGCTCGTTCTCGTTGCCGTCGGCGTCGGTGGCGGGCGGCAGCTGGGAGTAGAAGCCGTAGTCCAGGTCCTCCTGCCGCTTCCCGGCGCTGCTGCTCTTGCCGTAGTAGTGGTGCGCGAGCGCGGCTCCGCCGAGGACGGCGAGCGTGAGCGCCTGGGCGTGCATCCTGGCGTGGATGAGGCGCAGGCTCGTGGCCCGCGCCGGCGCCCGACGCCGGCTGTACGCCACCGACGCGCCCACCGCCGTCGCCCACACAGCTCCTGCACGGCACAACAGCGTATCTATCTGTGAATGATGAATCTATCTAAGCTAGCTTTGACTGCACGATCTGATCTGAGAGGGGATCGAAAAAACAGAGGAAAAATCCAAAAGGGGAGGCGATCGATGGGTTTCAGTGTCAGCAGTAACGAAGTGGACGAGGACGACTCATGACTCACCGATGGTTGAGAGCTTGTGTTCCTCCACCCAGGACTGCAGCGACGAGCTCATCCTCTCCATCTCTCTCTTCCTCACTAGTCGATCTTCGATTCGATCGACGGTGATCTTCCTCGAAACGATCTGCTACTCTGCTAGCTGTGTCTGGATTTGGTGGATGCGTGCTTGATTGCAGGGATGGATGGCTGGAAGCAGCAGCAGGTGACCTACTTATAGCTGACGAGAGTGGAGTGTGTGTTGAAGCACCCTGCCTGCCTATACCATGGCGGAGACGACGAAACCAGAGGCACCCCCCGCCTTCTGTTTCTGCCTCTCCTCCCCCTGGTTTTCCGAGCTTCTTGTGGGCTTTCGGTCGGTTGGCACGTCGTATCCCACCCAAGGTTTTTCATTCAGTCAGTCAGTTCAGGCACGGGTCCACCTTAAGTTATCTCCTTCCAGCGTCCAGCCTGCCTGCCAATTAAAATATTCTTGTGTTTCCGAGTGCAAGACGATGACAAGTGGGGCCGTGAGCGCTATGCTGGACCCGTGTTAGTCACCTACTCCCGCTTACTCGACAAATATACGGTGCGAACCCCCTATAGAAAATAATAAGAAAACAAACTTTTAAAGAAAAAAAACTTGAAACTTAGCACATCCATAATGCGTACAAATCGTACGCAGATGACAAATATGAGGTTCATGTGCACTAAAAATAAAAAATTCTTGAATTTTGGAGTACACATGAACCTAAATTTTACCATTTTCATATGATTTTTTCAAATGGGCTAAACGCCCCCTCGGGTCTTAAGGTGAAGCCTCTGCTTAGGGATGGAAACGATCAATAGGAGCCCAGATCACTTTCATTTTCATATTTTTTTCTCAAAATTCAAATCGATACGATATTGTCGGAAATGAATACGGCACTGATATTCTGGTAATTTCGAAAATGGTAGTAGTCGATCGGAAAATACATCGATAACGATCGGAATCCATGAGAACGATATCCTCAAAAACGATAAACACGCCAAACCACAGAACATGATAAGATCCATATAACTCAACCTATCTCACGTGACAATAATAAATAAAAACCACAATTGAAAAGATCACAAGCTGAAACCACACAGGTCACACCATCTCAAACAATGGCAAACCACGCAACAATACGACAATTTTTGACAAAGACACAAATAAACGATCAAGTTCTAAGTTGACTGGACATAGCATAGTGATCAAGTTATAAGTTCTAAGTTGGCTGATTGCATGATTGTCTTCTTGTTCCTATACTCATAAAATACTTGCTGTATAGTTTATTTCCAAAAAAAATATTTACCTTATGCGCTTTGTGTATGCAGATGGATGGACATGTTTAGATGTGGGTCAATTGGACCTAAAGTATGTGTTGTATCAATAATTGCCGACGGTAAATTACCGGTTAAATATGGCAATCTTCGAAAACGATCGGAAGAGGGCAAAATTATTTTCGCTTTTTCGCTTTACGATTATTTTTACCGTTATCGCTTTTATTTTTTCGATTACCGCTACCGCTTCCGCTTTAGGCCTAAAAATCGAAAAAGACTCGAAAACGATTTTCAAAGTAGGAGATTATCATTTTCGTTTTCATCCTACCTCTGCTTATGTAAATAAAGATAAATATAAATTGAGGCTAACATAATTATGCTAGACCGGCAGCCAAGATATTTTCTTGTTCTGCGTATGAGACACAGACAAGTGACACGGACGTGACAATGACGTAACGTGCCCCCCTATTCTGTGCCATTTACAAAATGGTCTGGAACCGAGACTATACCCTACCTCTAGATGAAAACGGTACAGGTATTTATTCGACCGTCCGTTCGATCAAACAAATATGAACACTTATCTGGATAGTTACTCGGATATTCGTAATTTTTTTCGGATACGGATAATAAAACGAATATCTTAGGCGGATATCAAATACGGATGTAATATCATCGATATCCGGCGGATATCGGATAATCCGGTTAAGTATCGGATATATCCGGATATTTTCAAACGGATATTATTCAAACGACCTTGGATGGAGAAATGATCACAATAAAAATTGTAGATCTCAAAAAGTTATGAAACTTTGTTGTTTACAACTTTTTCGTTTGAAATCATTTAGTGCTTCAAAATTTAAACCGTCCAAACTTTCTCAAATGGAAAACTAGTTTATATGCGTCAAAATTTAAAAATCACAAATTTGAACCATCCAAACTATCTCAAATGGAAAGTTGACCAAAACAACAATTGTAGATCTTAATGAGTTGAACAAACTTGGTATTCAAAACTTTTCAATTTGAAGTCATTTATAGTTCATAATACTAGAGTCAAAGTGTTGTTTTTTCATTTGACCAAATTTGACTTGATCAAACTTGCTCAAATGAGACGCTAAATGACCTCAGATGAAAAAACTCTGAATACCAAGTTTGATCATCTCAGCAAGATCTACAATTGTTACATAGCTCATTTTCCTATTTGAGAAAGTTTTATCAAACACTAGTCACAAATTTCTGAATCTCATAGACTTTCTGAAACTATGTCACACACTTGTAAAATTTGAACTATATTTTGTTTAAACTTTCTCAAATGAAAAAATGGCCTATATAAGGATTGTAGATCTTGATGAGATGAACAAATTTGGTATTTAAAACTTTTCAATTTGAGACAATCTAGGGTTCCGAAAACTAGTTTGTAAGCATCGAAATTTAAAAATCACAAATTTGAACCGTCCAAACTATCTCAAATGGAAAGTTGACCAAAACAACAATTGTAGATCTTGATGAGTTGAACAAACTTGGTATTCAAAACTTTTAAATTTGAAGTCATTTAGAGTTCATAATACTAGAGTCAAAGTGTTGTTTTTTTATTTGACCAAATTTGACTTGGTCAAACTTGCTCAAATGAGACACTAAATGACCTCAGATGAAAAAACTCTGAATACCAAGTTTGATCATCTCAGCAATATATACAATTGTTACATAGCTCATTTTCCCATTTGAGAAAGTTTTATCAAACATTAGTCACAAATTCTTGAATCTCATATAGACTTTCTGAAACTATGTCACACACTTGTGAAATTTGAACTACATTTTGTTTAAACTTTCTCAAATAAAAAAATAGCCTATATAAGGATTGTAGATCTTGATGATCTGAACAAACTTGGTATTCAAAACTTTTCAATTTGAGACAATCTAGGGTTCCGAAAACTAGTTTGTAAGCATTAAAATTTAAAAATCACAAATTTGTACCGTCCAAACTATCTCAAATGGAAAGTTGACCAAAACAAGAATTGTAGATCTTGATGAGTTGAACAAACTTGGTATTCAAAACTTTTCAATTTAAAGTCATTTAGAGTTCATAATACTAGAGTCAAAGTGTTGTTTTTTCATTTGACCAAATTTGACTTGCCCAAACTTGCTCAAATGAGACACTAAATGACCTCAGATGAAAAAACTCTGAATACCAAGTTTGATCATCTCAGCAAGATCTACAATTATTACATAGCTTATTTTCCCATTTGAGAAAGTTTTATCAAACACTAGTCACAAATTCTTGAATCTCATATAGACTTTCTAAAACTATGTCACACACTTGTGAAATTTGAACTACATTTTGTTCAAACTTTCTCAAATGAAAAAATGGCCTATATAAGGATTGTAGATCTTGAATCCATGACCATGACTCCATGAGACCCATGAAGCCATGAGCTTGGCTATTTCTACTCATGCTGCGAAGATTGGTGTTTGTATGATGTTTGATGTATGATGTATCTGTATCTTTATCTTATTTGTTGCTTTACTCTTTAGTCTTTCGGCTTAATCTAGATGGATTATGGACTTATAGAGTGGTGTAATGGTTTGCGCACGTATGATATATATATATATATATATATATATATATATATATATATATATATATATATATATATATATATATGCTGCTTTTACTCAATATCCGAATAGATATTTGCATCTGACCTTCTCCGAATCCGATTCATACCGTATTCGATACTCATTATTCGTATCCGTAACCGAGTCAATCCGTGTTCGTATATGTATCCGAACGCTATCCGTGTCCGAATCCGAACAGAAATATAAAAACAAATATAATATGAGTGATATCCGTTCGTATCCGATCCGTTTTCATCCCTACCTACCTCACCTAATGTTTGGACCCATGGAGTATTAAATATAAACTAAAAAAATAACTAATTGTACAGATTGCGACTACTTTAAAAGACGAATCTTTTAGGCCTAATTAGTCTATGATTTGACAATATGGTGCTACAGTACACATATGCTAATGACAGATTAATTAGGCTTAATAAATTCATCTCGCGGTTTATTGATGGATTCTATAATTTATTTTTTTATTAGTATTCGAACACCCCATACAATATTTTCATATGACACACGATATAACACCTCAAAACTTACCCTTGATTTAAACAAGGGCTATTGGGACGAGCCTAGTGAAACCATGGACAGCTCCGCCTCCCTGTGGATTCCTGTGGGCAGTTTCCAGCCTCAGAAAAATTCAAAAATATATGTCCTTTTTTTATTGGTCTTTGGAGAGTTTTAACGTCCGTGTCACGTGATGCGTCATGCGTGTTTCGTGCTTCGACGGAGAAGTTTTTTGAACAGCATAGTGCGGTTCTTTTCTTATAGGTTCAGAGTCAATATGGCTGAGCACAAATAAACAACGACACCGGCCTGCTTAGCCTAATAGGCATCAAAGCCCAAAAACCGCGAGTGTTACTGTGTTGGCCAGAGGCCCATCTCTTCAATCCGCAAAGTGAAGCCCAACTCACTGACACAACACCCTTGCACTTATCGCTACGATTAAGCCCAATGAGCCGGCAGGGAGGAGAAGGACACCGCTTCGGCCTTCTGATAGTCTCTTGTTCCGCGCGCTCTGCCTGATGCTCTGCTTCCGCTTCCGCTCACGCTAGTTCATTCATGGCTTCAACATCATGAGTTAATGCGTGCTTGCCTAATAATCGGTAATGCTCTTCTCACGGCGTCCGACCGTCCGGACGGTGCGCTTCCGCTCGCTCCAGT